ATATAATATTGTATTATATTATATTATTATTATATTATAAGATATTTATATATTATATATAATATCAAAAATATATATTATATATTTATATTATGCATAGTGAATAATGATCAACAAAAACGTTCTGAACGATTAAGTTTCTATCCCTACCCCCCCTTAGGAACTTGATCTTTCATGTTTTAACAAAGGAATGAGAACTTTTGTTAGAAGATTACTTTCTGAACTTTTAGATGAAATTGTGTGTCAAACGCGGAACTTTTGGACAATTAGAAATATTTCCTTCTGAAAGAAATTTTCAGAAAAACAAACACGCCCCTAGAGAGAAGAAAGGGTCTTCTTCAAAACAAAAACAACAAAAAGAAGGGCCTTAGTTTGGCGTGACCTTTTCCCGCCATTAGAAGTTTTTCCGGTCCATCTGTTTGTATATGGAAACAAAATATGGGCTGATCTTGGGAGTTGATATCTCTCTAAGTGGGCTTCTCTCTTCTTCCTTAAAAAAAATACAGCCCATATTTTTCCTAGGAAAGAGTTTGCTGTCATGTGTACCTGCCGTGCGGAAGTATGTTGAGGCTTTGACTCTTGCTCTCACAGGCCTACAACTACACACAAGAGACCACACAATTCTCCTGGCCTACAAACATGATCCCTGGCCATATCTCCGACCTCAATAAGGGATGAACCACTATAAACCCTTCTTGGTAGTGCCATTTGCCCAGGGCTAAGGATTTTTGACATGATCTTCATAAATTGCCCAACCCTTAGTCAGTCAACACATACACACTCCCTCTGAAGTGCATATTCCGCTATAAATATCATTTTTACAAGCTCTCTTGGCATTTAAAGGCCACAAAACCAACATCTCCCACTTGGCCTTTAAAGGCCATACAATCACTCCCTCAGAATTTCTCTTAAGCCCATCCCATGTATATGTTTGGCAAAAGCATTTGCCACCAATCCTTTTGTTAAAGGATCTGTTAACATGGCCTTTGTCGGGAGATATGCAATTATAATCTCTCTTGCTCAGATCTCGTTGCGAATGTGGTAGTAGCACGGCTTTATATACTTGGATCTCTTATGAAACCTCGGCTCTTTTGACATGCAAATAGCTGCATGGTTGTCACATAAGATTTTAACACACGGGCACTTTATTGGATCAAATATGAGTTGATTCAGAAACTTCTTCAACCAGATTGCTTCTTTAGCTGCGAAACAACATGCCGCATATTCTGACTCCATACTCGAGAGTGCAACAACATCATGTTTATTTGAGCTCCAAGAAACAACTCCACCTGTGAGCATGAAGATATATCCGGATGTGGACTTACTCTCATCTGGATCGCCCTGATAGTCCGCATCTAAATATCTTTGTATCTGTATATCTAAGCCTCCTTCACAAGTGACTACGTAATTAACAGTTTCCTTCAAATATCGCAATATTCTTTTGATGGCTTTTTAGTGCTCCATGCCTGAATTACTCTGGAACCTGCTAATCAAACTCATGGCAAAAAAGATAATTCTGATCTTGTCCCTGACATAACATACATTAGTGACCCAACCACACTTCTGTATGGAATTCTCTGCATGACTTCCTTTTCTTTTGGAGTAGTGGGACACATGGCTAGGTTAAGATTGGTCTTCTTATCAATAGGGGTTAATATGAGCCGGCAAATTTCCATTTCTAATCTTTCAAGAATTTTGTTAGAATATGTCTCTTGCGATAGTTGAATTGTTCTCTCTTTTCTGTTCCAGTATTTTGATCCCCAGAACATATGATGCTTCTCCAAGATCCTTCATATCAAAATACTGTGACAAGAAAGCTTTTGTGTCCAATACGAGACTCATCGAACTACTGGCAATTAACATGTCATCCACATATAAAGAGATGAAGGCCACGTCACTCCCATTGACCTTGACATATATACACTAGTCCTCCTGGTTAGACACAAAACCAATAGATGACAAGGTCTCCTGAAACTTAATGTACCATTGCTCTGAGGCTTGTTTAAGGCTATAAAGGGACTTATTTAAGTTTACACACTAGGTTTTCATTTCCATTTTCTATGAAACCCTTTGGTTGTTTCATGTAAATTTCTATTTCTAAGTCCCCATTCAGAAATGTAGTCTTAACATCCATCTGGTGGAGTTCAAAGTCGAAATGGGCTGCTATGGCTATTGGGATTCTTATCGAAGGGAATTTTGCGACAGGGGAGAAGTTCTTATTCCTTCTTTATGGGTAAAGCCTTTAGCAACTAATCTGGCTTTATATTTTAACAACTTCCCTTCTGATTTTAATTTTTTCTTATAAATCCACCTGCAGCCTATGGCTATCAGGAGGTAGTTTCACTAATTCCCAAACTTTGTTTTGTTTGATAGAGTTTAGTTCATCATTCATGGCTTCATCCCATTGGGTCTTTTCGTGAGAGGTTATGACTTCTTGGTAGGAAAAAGGTTCATGTAAGGATTCTTCTTCAATTCTCTCATAATGTTCTCCTAGGTAGGTGAGGAACTCAGGTCTTCTCCTAATTCGGTTATTTCTCCTAGGACAAGGTGGTTCAGGATCCATGGTCTGACTTGTGTCATTTTCTATCTCATGAAACTTGGCTTGTTTTAGAGTGGCACGACCCTCAAGGAATTCTTTCTCAAGGAAATGAGCGTCCCTACTCTCAAGGACACCCCTGTGTTAGGATTATAAAAACGGTATCCCTTACCATGTGGTGGGGATTATATGAAGATGGACTTAACTGTTTTCGGATCTAATTTTGTTCTATTTTGATAGGGTATTAGGACATGGGCAGAGCATCCCCACACTCTAAGGTGATGAAGGGACGGAGCACGACCAGTGAAAATCTCATGAGGAGTTAGTGGGACAACTTTTGTGGGAGCCTGATTAAGGATA